TTATAATGGGATAATGGAAAAGAAGTCGATGCAACTCAACACCCCAAGACTCTTCGAAGCGGTGACAGCGAATAGCCTCTCGCCCTCAGTTGGACTCGAGAGTGTGCTGTTACGAGGCATGGTGATTGGCGGCTCCTTCTATGCGACAATGATTGCTGTATTTGCACTCGGCATCTTCCTTGTCAAGACGCAGGCGCTTCCGCAACATGAGGTAACTGTGCCCTTGCTGTCTAGCTGCTCATGTGAGCGAACGATCTGGGATCTGGATGGTAGCCGAGGGCAGGATTATGTTTGAGCTTCTCAGAGCAAGGCGTTTCATGTTGTCGTTGAGGAGATCATTATCCCGCCCACCCTCATGGCGTTCGTCACCTTGGCTTTGTTGGGCCTTGCTATCTTTGGTGCTGCCCTGAGGTTGCACAGGCATGGATGAGACCTAGTCCCCAGCCCTAACCGCATCCCTCAGGTGGCTCCTACGGAATGATGTCTGCTAGCTGGGACCCTGAGAAGGAAGGCAGTGCTTTGGGCGCGGAGGACGGGCCAATCACGTGCTTGACGAGGTGAGGAAGATTGGCTTAGTAGTAGTGGCTTTACTGATGTTTGGTGCGCAGTTCCAGAGGAAGTCTTTGACGTGTCCCCGAATTGCAGGAGTTCTCAGAGAACATGCAGATCCTTGGAGAAGGCTTCAGAAGAGCCACCCTTGAAGAGGACTACGAGAAGGCCCAAGTGGTTTTGCTGAGCTCTTAGGAGCTGATGTGGAAACCAAGCAGAGCGGTTGTGGTGCGGCAGGGCATGTTGTTTTCGTGTGGAGGCCTTGGAAGCCAGGAATGAGAGGCGCAAGTTGTTGGAGGCCGATCTCAGCTCGTAGTCTTTCACAGCATGTTTATCCTCCACCTCTTACGAAGCAGTGGTCACTTTGCTGGAAAAGTCACCCACGGAGATGCGAATTTCAAGTTTTCTTATAGGCTTCTCCTCGCCGTTGTGGCAAGCCCTTCCAACCTTCAAGCCTGTTCTGCACTCTCCTATGAGTTTAGGGTTAAGGGTGAACCCACAAAGATAGTAATATTTTCGATCCTTCAGAAGGATTCCAGGCGAGCAATCAACAGGCTCAAGTTCGGCCCACCGCTCATTGGGTCACAGGTGTGAGGTAAGCATGGGCTGGGAGATGAGATGACCGACCTCGCTGCATTTCTGGGTTGCTGCTAAGGAAC